GATCCATTTATATATTATGTACTCAAAACAATAACGGATTTTTTGAACATTTTCTAAAATAACTTAAAGTGTATGTAGTGATATTATTATTTTAAAGTGAACTTTAAAGAAAATGAGAACTTTAAAATTATCCAGGATGCCCACAAGAAACAAAATCTATTCTTCAATAATTGAACAATCCTGTCATGTAGTTTTTTAACTATTCATTAACGACATTCTAGATAGTTATGGTTTATACCAAATTTACGTAAGACCTGATAAGCAAAGACAACAAAAAACTGTAGTGGGTCTACTAACAGCGTATTGCAAGATCAATAGGCATTTAAAGTTAATGGAATTAAGAAGAAAGCCTGTGCAGATTCTGTCAGTGCAGTAAATTTACTCTAAATACGATCTAATATCAAAAACCACTTGGTATACACAAGTAAGCAAAAAATATTTAAAAATTATACTATTTAAAAAACTAAAAATTTACTAAGAAAATATTTCAATCACTCTGTATATAATATTAATATTTTTAGTATATACCCTCCTGTAACCCGTATATTAAAAAAATATCGGAGTAATATTATAATAGATTTCATACGTTTGCCCTAATAATACCTTTGCCAATTATGTATAATGTATTACATATTATATTTTCCTAATATAATAAAAATAATTTTATTTATTTATTTTAAGATGTAATGATCAATTATTTTATCAATATCAATATTTTATCTTAATGAGATTTTAAATATATATTATTAATATATTTTTAAATCCAATTTTTTTCGTTTTATGAAATTACATTTAAATTGAATTAAAATATTAAAGGGAAACTCACCAATCAAATTCAGTTTTTCAAAAATCCGCTCTTTCTATGTGTTGGCGCGCATTTTTTTTTCGAAAAAGACTCAAACTTTTTTACGTTTACGAACTGTATCGGGCGCGAATGAAGACTAACCAGCGATTGGTGAAAGAGCGTGTAATGTAACCTGAGGTATACAGTTCTTACGGGACTTAGGCAGTGCCGTAGTATGCTAATACCACGTTGCACACGATTGTCACCAAACCTACTTACTACAGCTACCAGATTTTTTTTGATTGATAAGTGTGAATACAAGTTTAGTATTTCGCCACTGAAATATTTTATAAAATCTTACAAGGTTTACAATCCCACGAAAACTAGCTTCTCAGTTGCTCCTTATGAGTAATATACTGTATGATCGAGAAAAAAACGGCGTCAGAGACGGCTGGGGAATGAGAATTGATGATAATTTTGACGAGGTCAATCTTTAGACGTGCCGCGAGTTTATCTTCCTGGACTTCTGTGATTGTTTCCAAGCAGCGGTGCAACATTCCCATATAACACAACACAATCCTATAGATATCTTGAGGATATCCACCAAGGATATAATAAATATCTTAGGGATATCCAAAAACCAGAGGAGGATATTATGGGATATCCAGATGGGACAAAAAAAAGTCATCTTCAAGACATCCCTAGGCAAGCCTTTTTCGATTATTTGGGATATTTATAGGATAATACAAGGATGATGTTGGTTGGGAGCATTATAGAATATTTTTAGGACATTATATGAGGACTGTTATTTGACAATACTTACTTCATCCTTAGTTTATAGTAAAAACGTTCGCGATTTAGTTTTATTTAGCCACATTTTGACGTTATTTATTGGATATTTTTATTAATAGCTCTAAAATATACCTACATATTATGTCAATGAATTTTGCTTCAAAATTTAGAAGTTTATTTGTATGAGTTGAGAGCTTTTAATTTATACTGTACCATCGAAAAAAAAACGATGTTCAATTGACTTGAAAATTACGATCGATGACATTTCCCATATAATTTTACATACAAAATAACAGCAATCTTCATTTCCAAGCCACCTCTGACGCCGTTTTTTTCGATCGTATCGTATTATACCAGATTATACTACCCTTTAGGGAGTCTAGCAGCAACAGTTTACATCAAAGTAAGCACATAGGATACAGGTATAATTTCTAACACCACACATTCCAGAAACTTACAATTTAAACAGAAAAATAGGATTTCTGTTCGAATAGATCAAACACGAAAATGGGTTTAGGGATAAAGAACAAGCGCTTTTCAACAAATTTTCACCAGAAGTGTCTAGCCCTAGCAGTCAACTATTAAGCTTGACCAATCAGGTTGGTTAGCGGGGTTATTTGAAGGGTGTTCATTCATTTGTGTTTGTCAAAAACTCTAACGTGATTGGTCGGGCTTAATAGTTGCCTGCTAGGGCTAGACACAAGTATTTTCACCTATAATTTTGTCATAAATTTTTCATTGTGAGACCCTGAGTCGTTCGTCGTTTTTCGACATTAGTTGAGGTTAGGACAGAATTTCTGCTAGAACAAGGCTAGAACTATGAGTATAAGAAAAAATTAAGTCAAACTAAACCAGTTTTGTTAGTTTCAGTCATTTTTAAGCCCATTCAATATCGACAAACAATTGTTTATTTTTCCTAAATGTCTAGACGATATTGTTAGGATATTTTATTATCATGAGCATCTCTGGATATCTCAGCTGGATGTACATTTGATATACGACAGAGATATCCATAGGATATTCTATTCTGAGACATCTACAGGATTTCAGGATGTCTGGAGGATATCCTCTAGATGTCTTTATAAGACTTTCTTTTAATGGGACATTCCGACATTCTATGAATATCCTGCGGATATTGTGTGTTATATGGGTTACCACATTTTACGTAGTTTGAATTCTGCACAATAAATTAATATAGTAATTATATCAGTAACATATACCGGGTGCGTCTCAAAAGTGGCTCACACCTATAACTTTTTTATTTTTTCAAATAAAAAAAAACGAGGCTTGGTATGGTAGTATATGACTTAAATTAGGATTGATTGACGTATTCAACTGTTTTTGGTCACTTCCTGTTTCACCGGAAATGACTATAACTTTTGATTTTTAAATGGCACCCTCGCTATTTTTAGTCGACCATACTGTTAAGAAAGACAATCAAAAGATTCTAGTATTGCTGTGTCTAGTTGTTTTAATAGTCTAAGGTTAATATGGAGATAAGTTAAGTCTGTGGTTGTCAAATACGTTTAAAATAAAGTATACGGAGGGTACCGCTTAAATTCCTGTCCCGATATTGAAGGATGGCTATAGAATTTCAATGCATTTCCTACATAAGTCTATCCTTGGTTTGCAGGAGGTTTGACTAAACAAGGATGAACCTATGTCTTAAAACCATTCGACTCGATTTTCTGTCCTCCTTCAATACTGGGACGTAAATCCTCTCATTGCTCTTATGGGGAGGCCGTCGTATATTTTATTTAAACGTATTTGGTGGTTGTCAAGAAGTGAAGTGCGTTGCTTGTTGTTTGAAGGCTTCGTTTTTTGTTCTTAGCAGTTCTTAGAGTTAATTAATTTGTTAGAAGTTAAGAAACAATATTGTATATTGTATGTTCAGATTATTAATAAAGATATACACACTGCTCAACACATACCAAAAGGTATGGTAGGCTATTAAGATCGACAAAAAAAAGTTTTTTTAATTTCACTCAAAATGAGTTATTTGGGTCATGTCATAAATGACCTAATAAGTCTATCCGTCTGTCCATCTGTAACACGATAACTCAAAAACCGCTAAACCGATTTTAACCAAATTTGGCACGAAAATAGTGTGGCACCCGAGAATCTGGTCATTAGTTTTTGGCGGGGGTGGGGGGTTGTTAAGAAGATATGGGAGGGGGTTAAAAATTTTAAAAAATCGTAACTCCAAAATTACAGTAGCTAGCGAAACGCGGTTTTCAATTTAAGATTAGGCATAATGTTTGCAACAAAATTTGTAATAACATCAAAATCAGTCAAAGTCGCAGTTTTTGAGATATTCCGTGTTTCCGTAGTCCGTTTTTGAGAAAATCCGTGTGGAAACTCCCATCGGACGCGACCCCAGGTGGCGGATAGGGGAAATAATCGCGGACCAAAATTGGAAAAGTCCCTTTACTTTGAAAGTAAAAGAACTGCTGCCTACCAACTTTTTATTAACATATTTTAGTATGGGCGGCTATACGTGCCTCCCGGCGCCAATTTTTTTACTTGTATTCGATAGAAAATGACATTCTGATTAGAAAGACATATCATACGTCAACTTTTGACATGCTCGCTTAATAAAAAATTATATTTTAAATTTCAATCTAGAGTGCCATGGCTATGTTAATAACACTAATTTTTAATCAAGGGGCCTTGGAAAAATAGATTTGATCGTCGAATGTTTTTAGTGTCTTGTCCTGGCCGGTTATAAAAGATGCCCAAATCGTATTTTTGATCATATCTCAATTTTTTCAAATGGAACAGGGGCGGCTTATTAGCATATTTGAAAAAAAACATTTTTTATGAATAATTTGATACCACACACTTGCATGGTATTTCGAGTCAAATTTTCGTTATGAACCGCATGTTATAATTTCAAATAAACCATATGCGAAAATGTCAAAATTTGACATATGATCATAATTCTATTCAGAGTGGCATTTTCTATCGAATAAAGTAAAAAAATTCTGAGAGTGCCATTTAAAAATCAAAAGTTGTGGTTATTTCCGGTAAAACAGGAAGTGACCAAAAACAATTGAATACGTCAATCAATCCAAATTTGTGATATATACAAACATACCAAATCTCGTTTTTCTATCTGAAATAATAAAAAAGTTGTGTGAGGGAGGTAAAGAAGCCCATTTGAAAAATCTAATAACGAAATTAAGCTGGCATTTTCTGAAACGTTTACACTACTAAATTTCGTATATTAAAATAGTTTGAGATAATTTGCTGATACTAACATTTGACACAGTATTTGTACATAAGATGTATTTATATTTCCTTTATTTTCAAATCTATGATTTATTTATGAAGGAACATCTTTCCTTTTGAGACATTCTGTATAATAGTAGCCACAGATTATAGATACCTATCCAAAGCCGGAAATGGCCGGCTGTGACATTGACGCATGACAGCTATTGATTGTTTATGAAATTGGCCAGTCATTCGTATTTCTAACCTCTTGTTTTTGTAAAATTGCAATCTCATAAACCAGTAAAATATCAAAAATGTTTTCAGCACCACCCTTTTGGGAAAATGGCCCTGCTCCAGGAAATTTCTACAACTTTCCCAATTTGCAACCACAAGTACAACAACCTCAAGATTTCAGACAACATTCTCAGTAAGTTATTCTTCGTTTTGTGTTTAAAAATTGTATGTAGAACTTTAATACTTAAATATAACCAGCTTAAAACCTATAACTTTGTTTCGTATACATAGGTATGCTGAAAAACAAATTTAACTTTATTGAATATTAACATTACAAATTGTTTATTTTTTTAGGTCTCCAGTAACAACATCAACATCTTTGGTTGGAATCACATACGATAAGGGGATTCTAGTAGCTGGCGATTTGCTAGCATCATACGGTTCTCTTGCACGTTACAGAAACTGTCCTAGAATAGTAAAAATTAACGAGAACATCATTTTGGGTGCCAGTGGAGATTATGCCGATTTTCAATATGTAAAAGACTTTGTTGAGCAAAAAGTGTAATAAAAATTTAGTTTAGGTTTAAATTATATATTTATAAACTCATTTATTTTTATAGCATAAGTGAAGAATGTCTAGATGATGGTCTTGCTTTAAAACCAAAATCTCTGTATTGTTGGTTGACTAGAATTCTATACAATAGAAGAAGCAAGATGGACCCATTGTGGAACAACTTTATAGTAGCAGGAATTCAAGTAAAAAATCTGTAAAAAACGTATGAAGTTCTTTTTTAAATGTTATAATTTTTAGGACGGACAACCGTTCCTGGGAACAGTTGATAAACATGGTACTGCTTATGCTGATAAAGTTATCTGCACAGGTTATGGAGCACATATTGCCACACCTTTGCTGAGGGACAGTTTGGACAAGAATCCCCAATTAAATTTAGCCGAAGCTAAGGCTTTAATCGAGAAATGTCTGGAAGTCTTATACTACAGGGATGCCAGAAGTTATCCAAAGTATCAGTTGGGAATTATTGATGTCGAACAAGGAGTGTCTATTGAAGGACCCTTGGAAGTACCACAAAAATGGGAAATTGCTTATCATTCTAAACGTTTCTAAATATTTAAGATATTTTTTTTAATTCAATTACATATTAAATAATTATAATATCAGTGTTTTTTCTTCACTTATTAAATACTTCTTGCTATAATTCTTTATTTTTACTTAAAAACACTTTCCGCTGGCTAGAGTTTTTAGTTTCTTATTTTTAAGTTGGTAGATGGTAGACATAATAAGTTGGTAGCTCTGAGATCTCAATGTGTCCAACATACGAAAACAAAATTGTACAACTTATATTAATATTTTAAATGATTTTATAATGAAATTGTGCTATGAAATGTTATAATAAACATACTGGAATATAAATAAAACCCATAAACAGCACTATAAGTTTTGTATTCAATTCAAATTTTCCTAGTTCAAATAAATTCCTACAGGCTAAACAAGAAATCTGTATCAACTATTTGACATTTAGCTTGACAGACAGTTGAAGAATGAAGAAATTATATGGCCGAAGGATTATTGTAGTGCGAAAATAATAAAAAGTGTTAATTTCTTATAAACTGTATTTAATGGTGTTTGTGTTAAACATTATTTAGTGTTTTGTCGATGATAAGCTGAATCGTTTATTTTGTAAGTATTTTTGTTGACTTCCTTGTTAAACCTACAAGTTTGGAGCACTAGTGTCGGTTGCCTGAAAACAAGTTTTTTCGATATTATCCTTAATAAATTCTCAAGTTCTTTTAACAATTGTATAATTCGTATTCGCAATTCAGATTTCTTCCTGCTGTTTAGTTTAAATTAAGAAGTGTTTTAACAGTTGTGCCTCAAGAGTTTTCCATCAAGTTAAATACCTGTTACCTACCTTTTTTCTTTCTTTAAATTTCTATATTTGGCATAACTAGTTTATTAGCGCTTGTAAACAATTTTCTTCAGCGAAAAATATAGCAGTGTTTATATTATTTATACTAAATAAAATCACGTAAATCGACAGTATAACATATTTATAATTTTATAGTGATATAAGTAGGCCTTTTAGGCAATTCAGACTTTTTTAATGATTATAAGCATATATGGAATTACAAAGTTGTAAATCTGATTAAGTTTAAAGTCTTATTTAACGAAAAACTATTTTTAGTTAGTATTTCAACTGTAATATTTCTTAATACAGTACAATATATTACTGTTAGTTTACCTTGATAAAGATATCTTTATACAAAATAATTTACTAGAGGTCTTATAATACTGTAATTACCTCTATATAGTTCAACCTGAGCAGCTTAACAAGGATTTAAAGAAATGTTATTGAACACTTGTTAAATGTTAAAGTTAATATTTAAGTACAAACTTTCTTTAACCTTACATTGGGGCTGTCCTGACATAAACAATCAAATAAAAATGTATGTATTACTTTGGCCTTGGTGTATATTTTTAGCTTCGAATATTAAATAATTTAAATTCTATATTGTCAGAAATTGTACGTGTAGAATACACTTTCTAGCCGTATTTTAGGGTACTTTACATGACATCTTATGAAGATACGCTTCCAATAATATGCACTTGCTTATTTCTATTATTAGAGGGATATAAATGTTTCAGTAACATTACTGTGACAAGAGGGTCACTAACCTAAACACAGGAATATCTTCTTAAAGCTCAAACATCTTTATTTCTAATTTTCTTATTATGTTTTAGTACATTTACTTAGTGGTTTTCAAAGTTTGATTTTCATAATAATTATGTTTACTATATAACTGTTGATCTGATTGTAGTGCAGCCATTATGGCATATTCCTGTCCTCGAGACCTCGATGGCTTTGCTCCACACCTCAGCAAGCCTGACACCAGGTTTCGACAGCAGCTCGGACAAGATTTGCTCACGTTCCTGGCTGAGCCAGCCAACACGATAGCATGCCAAGATATAGGTCAGTTCATTGATGGTTTAGTTCCATGGACACACAGTAGCAATTTTAAGGTAGGAAAACATTTAATATTTGTTATTTTCTAGTGTGTTTATAAATTTGGGGTAATTTTTGTACATTAAAATGAATTTAGGGTATTTTAAAAACTCTGAATTGTTTTGTATGCACATCTGTGTTCTAAAGATGTTATTATGTGATGTTATTTGAAGGTAAGAGTCATAAAACTTATTACCTGATGTATCTCAAATTCACATACCACTGTAAACATTTTTAAAAATTGAAGTTATATAAAAAATAAGGTCCTTTATTTGAATTTAAAGTTATATAAAAGTTCTATAATGTAAAAGATAATATAAAAAGTAAGTAAGCAATAACAATTCATAAATTATCATAATGATAATGAGTGGGTTTGTCTTTTGACGCATATTCGCTCTATTTTAGTAACAATTTTTGGTGTAATTTTAATTTTAACTCTGTATGGTTGAGGAACAAGTCAATATTTGTTATTTATAATGTATAAGTAATTTATTACACATTATTTATATGGTTATATCTCCATTCTTGTTGCAAAGCCTTCCTTAAAAAAACTGGTGAACTTTACTTTGAGAAGACTTTGTATATACATAATATTCTGTGGTAATCTTAGATTTTAGTTAAATACTAGTAGGAAAGTATTTAAAATAGGCTTGGTTAAGAAAGTAAGTATATAAGTAAGAATGTAACTGAACTGAAATTATTTTATTATGCTTAATTATTTCTAAGACTAAATTAGCTGCAATAATAAACACTTGTTATAACATATACATTTATTATGTGGCTGTTTGGCAAGTTCACTTGAAATGACGTCAAAAGTCGAAGTTAAATATATTTTTTTTCGGTTTATTGAATGGTTCATGGTGCTATTTTTATTTTGCATTCACGTAATAAGATAGTGGAAGGTGTGATACAATGTGCAATGAATTTTAATTAGGAATAGTCTACGTCTACACGATACTGTTTTTTTTTGCACTGTGATATGTAATTTGTGTAGAAAACCGCTTTTTTTAATGCTTGGTCATAAAAGCGATAATAAAAAATAATTGAGTTTTCAATGCATTCTGCGAGGTATTTTGAATTCGTGTTTGCTATTTGGGGAATTCTTTTAAAAATAAATATGGACAATGTGTGATGTGAGCTAAATATAATTAAATAAATTTGTAAAAAATATTACTGTAAAAAATACAACTATACAGGGTGAATATTAAATAAGTGCAAATCTTTTTGGGGTGGTATATTTCTACCCCAGGAACACGTCTATGGGTTTTTTTCGCGAAAAAAAAATAAATTTAATAAAAAATAATTTTTCTGTAAGTATATTTTAGAAAACTTTAGAACTGCCTGTTCACCTCAAATTTTCTCACGGTATAATTTCTTAATCTCTGACATTATCATGGTTACGGCTTAACTCTATGCTTACCACGCTAAAAAGAATGTAAATACAGAAAAAAATCCGGTACCTCTTAATTTTTTTAAAAATAAATTAATTTAAAAAAAAATCAAATTTGAATAACTGGGTCGTTTTGGACCAATCTAAAAAACGGTAAAGAGAAAATATTTGTCTTTTATTGAGATCTACCAGCTCTGAAAATATTTGTACTTTTTTAAGACTCACCCGGTATATTTATATATTTTTATTTTGAATAAAATAAAAAAAAATCGATGATGCCATTTAAAAATCAAAAGTTGTAGTAATTTCCGGTGAAACCGGAAGTGACCGAAAACAATTGAATATGTCAATCAATCCTAATTTATGTCATATAGGTACTAACATACCAAATTTCGTTTTTTATCTGAAGAAATAAAAAAAGTTATAGGGGTGAGCCACTTTCGAGACGCACCCGGTAGAGGATTGTCAAAGCCAAAACCAAGAAATTATCGCAAGAAATATGAAAAATGAGAGAAAATAAGATTAGTATTTAGTCGTATTAAATAGAAAAATGCTTTTTAGAAAATTCAAATATGTATCTTTACTTTTCCTTGTTGGTAAAAATAACTATAATAAACATTAATCATTTCACCAGCGTAATTTTTAAATGCGTGCCTTAATTCGACCGATAACACGAATTAAGATTGAGCGTCATGTTAATTTAGTGCAGCTGTTCTTAATCTGGAAGAGCTATGCTAGGAAATTGCAGGGAATCACCATCTCTCATATTAAGCAGAGCTTCGCTGGTTTAAATTTCCGAACGAGTGATTAATATCCTTAATGTGATTTTGAATCTTGATGTTTTCGACACAACGTGTATATTATTTCGTATATTTTTCATTTTATTGATTTTATGGAAAGCGCTGTTCATTAAAATGTATCCTATGTTATAGGGCTTGTTTCTCTCTACAATTTCCTGTCTCACAATGTATACCGTTTGTGTGCGGGAAGGGTTCATAGTTTCATAGTTGTCGATTTTCGAAAGAAATCAGTACATTTATATTATTTCGTATATTTTTCATTTTATTCGTTTTATGGAAAGCACTGTTCATTAAAATGTTCTATCCTATGTTATAGGGCTTGTTACTCTCTACAATTTCCTGTCTCACAATGTACCGTTTGTGTCCAGGAAGGGTTCATAGTTTCATAGATGTCGATTTTCGAAAGAAATCAGTACATTTATATTATTTCGTATATTTTTCATTTTATTCATTTTATGGAAATCACTGTTCATTAAAATGTTGTATCCTATGTTATAGGGCTTGTTTCTCTCTACAATTTCCTATCTCACAATGTACCGTTTGTGTCCGGGACGGGATCATAATTTCATAGTTGTCGATTTTCGAAGAAATCAGTACATGTGTATTATTTCGTATATTTTTCATTTTATTGATTTTATGGAAAGCGCTGTTCATTCAAATGTTGTATCCTATGTTATAGGGCTAGAATTCAGTAATTGTACGGAAATTATGATTTATTTGCGGATTGTCATAGTTAAAAATAAACTATTTCGATTATCGCTAATAAGACTTGAGTCTTAATTAAATAATGGTCAATTACGAACACGAACGAAATTGAATTTTATTCATACTGGCGACCTTCAGGATCTTATCGCTGTCGGTCAATAGGTCGAATTGGTGCCGATCCAGAATGAAAAATGAAAAAAAAAACATACACAGCTGTTACTTAATTTTGTCAATTCTATTTTTACCGGTTGTATTTGTGTGTTTATTTTGTGTCATTGTGTATACGGAACGATACGAAAGCGTAGAGCTGCCATCACAACATTGAAAAATATATTTAGCAAAATTTACACTTTTTCTGTAAATTTACAGATTTTCTTTAAATTTACAGATTTTCTGTAAATTTACACTTTTCCTGTAAATTTACAGATTTTCTGTAAATTTACACTTTTTCTGTTAATTTATGCGTTAGTGGCAACAGTGGTGCGTTATTCTACGAGTAGTTCCCATCGAATTCTGTTCTACGCCAGTTTATTCACAAAAGTCTTTACTAGTAAAGACAGAATTAGGGAACCACTGCGGCAATTAATTGAAGGATTGAAGACATGCGGACTATATGAAAAGATTAAGCAATATCCCAGTATATTCAAAGATATATTTTGTTCTGAAACCACACTCTCTTCAAAAATACTTGAAGAATTATTCCTCATCGTCTATACTGAACCTGGGTCTAACATAGTACAGAAAATCGGGTGATCTCTTATTTTAGGGATTATGTATTAAATTTCGAATGTGTGTGATATAATAGTATGGCATTTTTTTGTTTAATATGTTTTCTAATATGCTTTTAATCGACCCGGAAAGTATTTTCACCCTTTCCGATGCATTACTGTTTGCAAGAGGATCTGATGGCCTCCACCTCTGGGATGACGTAAACTGTCGTCTGCAAATGATGTAAACTTAGGGCATAACCATCCTCTAGCAGACATGTCAGAATTTCTTTGTGACTTAATCCGATATGAAAGTAGGTTTTAATGTATTCGTCCATAATCTCTGATGAATATCTGTACTACTTAGGCACAATAGCAACTTAATCAGCGGAGAACAATGCTCACTTGTAACTAACGAGCAGGTCGATGCCGAGACGTCATTCTGCTGGGTAGTAAATTTCGCATGCAATTTACAGAAAAAGTGTAAATTTACAGAAAATCTGTAAATTTACAGAAAAAGTGTAAATTTACAGAAAAAGTGTAAATTTACAGAAAATCTGTAAATTTACAGAAAATGTGTAAATTTACAGAAAAAGTGTGAATTTAACACATACAGAAAAAGTGTAAATTTACAGAAAATCTGTAAATTTACAGAAAAAGTGTAAATTTTGCTAAAATTATATTTCATTGTTGGGATGGCAGCTCTACGCTTTCGTAGAACGAACAAGCGTTAGTTAGCAATCTTTCAACACATTAGCACCGTGCGCTGATATTTTAATTAAAATATTTGTTGATGGTGATCATTAGCAAACTAGATAGGAAAACAACTTACTTTTAAATATCTTAATTTATGTATATGTTACTCGCTGATTCGACAGATGTTTTTGACACTGATTGTCAAATTCTGCATAAATTTCTTTGGGATTGTGAATTTGTGAAATAGTCTTTGTGTAAAATTGTATTTTTTTGAGGATAGTTTTAGGGTAGTTCTGATTTATTTTGTTCTTTATGTTTTTTGGGACACTGAATCTGATGTATGCTAACAAAATTTCGTGACGGGACATTTAAAAAAATGCAAAATACGTAAAAAAATGCTATTTTTTCGTTTTCTTTTGCTTATAACTCCAAAATATATTTTTTTAGAAATACTTCTATACAAAATAAAAGTAGACAAAATTTCCTACAAATTCAGTTCTATATATTTTTTCGTCAGGCAATCCGATTAGGCTCTACCGCTGGTTTTAGATTAGCGCAGGGTTGGAAAAAATCATGATTTTTTTAAAAAAATAAAAAAAATCAGATATTTTGATTTAAATCAGATTTTTTTGATTTTAATTCAAAACAATATTTAAATCGGATTTCCAAATGACTAGGGCTTATTTCCAATTAAAGTCCTATCTTAAATGGCTAAATCT